AATTTCTCACAAGTGTTGTTGAGTTCGGTAGTGTGATTTTGGAGGCTTTGTTGGTCATCCGCTTATAGAAATTCAATTAAGGTTTCTGGGCTTTGGTTTGCTTCTTGCGTTATTGAGTCCATATATATTAAAAACAGGAGGGGAGATAGAATACATCCCTGTCGTACTCCAGATCTTACATTGAACCAGTCTGTATTGCCTTACTTCGTTCTTACTGAGTTTCTGCTTTTGGTATATAGAACTCTGACATTATCTAACCGTTGTCCTCTGACGCCATACTTTTCGAGTGTCTTCCAGAGTTTTGCGTTGCTTACTCTGTCAAAAGACGATGTTGGATTCTTTGTTGTGTTCGATTGTTTGCTCGCGTATCTGTGTAATGCGAATACGGCATCCATGCATCCTCTTCCCTTTCGGAATCCAAACTGAGCTTTGCTCAAATTTCTCTCTACAAAAGGTCTTATGCGCTGCTCTAGTATCTTTGTATACATTTTTCCTGAAGGGCTTAACAATGAGATGCCTCTGTATGTTGTGCAGTCGCGTTTGTTGCCTTTTCCCCCACAATAGTACCACTATGGCTTTCTTCCAGTCTTCTGGGCATTTTCTTTGTTCCCAGGCTCTGTTGAAAATACGCGTCAGCCACAGTATATCGGTGTTTACACAAGCTTTTATGACTTCCGCAGTGATGTCATCTGGTCCTGGGGCTTTATTCTTGGGGCTGGTCTTGAGTGCCTTTTCTATTTCGCTGGGAAGTATTGGTGGTTCTGTTTGATCTCCATATGATGGTTGGAACTTTAATTGTTGTCCGTGGCAAGCATCTGGGTTGAGTAGTTCTTGGAAGTAATTTTCCCATCTTTTCTTAATTGCATGTTTGCCGAGAATGCCGTTTCCCTCTTTGTCGTTCATAATGCATGTCGGGTTGTATGGGTCTTTCCTTATCCGCATGCTCTTCACACATTTATAAAATTCTCTTGGGCTTTCCATGCAGATTTTGGTCAGTTTCTTGCCATATATTTTCCATGCATTTCCTTTAGCAGTTTTGATGATTTTTTGGTCTCTCTTCTCGCTTTCCTGTATTCTATATAATTATTCTTCTTCGGCCTTTGACCTCTGCCATTTTTTGAATTTCTTCTTTTTCATTCTAATTGCTTCTTTGGTTTCATCATTCCACCAGCATGTTGTTCTGCCTTTGTTTCCACTTATTCGTTCAGTGGCACAGCTGTTTTTCAGTATTTCTGACAACGATTTTTTAAAATGTTTGTCATTCGTCTTCTATGTCCTTGGTCTCTGGTTGCAGTTGTACTCCTTGGTAATGTCATCCTCGACTGCTTTCTTGACGTCTTGTTCTTCCAATTTTCTTAGGTTAGTCGTGGGTTTTCCCCTGTTCTTCTTTGTTTGCTTTACGTTGTTGGTTGTGAGAGTAAGTATCACAGGTCTGTGGTCCGTGTCGATGATGTAGTGTGGAACCGCTCTCGAATCTTTGGCTGTATGTCTTTGTTTTTTGCGCATCAGGATGAAATCAATTTGTGATGCATGGTTCAGGTCAGTCCATTTGTACCAGGTCTTGATTTGTCTTTGTCTATGTTGGAAAAATGTGTTCGTAATCATCATGTCGTGCTCAGTGAATAGATGTGGTATCATTTCTCCTTTGCTGTTGCAGTTTGTATCTTTATCGCTGGGGGATCCCAAGTACTCTTCCCAGGGGGTTCTTCTTCGTCCAACTCTGTCATTTAAATCTCCCAAGATTAATATATCTTTTTTGTTCTTGATGCTGTTAGTATGGTCACTCGGGTTTTGGAAATGTGATTGACTATCTTCCTCTGTATAGCTGTCGTTACAGGGAGCGTATGTTGGGATGTACGTTGTTGTTTTGCCACCCTCTATGAGTTTATGCTCACTATTCTCTCTGAGATCTGATTGATTTCATAGATTGTGTCCATTTTGGCTGGGTGTATGATGAAAGCTACACCATGTTTGGCTCTCTCATTTGCAGGTGTTCCGCTCCAGATCAGGAGGTAGCCTTTATGGGTCAGCTTGGTGTGGTTGCCTCTCTTCCTTATGTCTGACAAGCGCATGATTGCTATTTTCTTTCTTTCCCTGAAATCCACTATTTCTTTTTTTTGTGTGTCCAAGTCCGCTGACATTCCATGTGCCTATATGTCAGCGACATATTTATGTTTAGATGGTGTTGTTTTTTAAATAAAGTTACAAACAAAACATAGTAGGGACTGCACTTAGATGACCACACTTGCGCTAACAAATCAGTTCCTCAACGACAGTTTCTGTCAGTGGCGGTGGGTAGTGAAGGCCTCACGGGCTTGAGCCCCCCCCCCTCCCCACCCCCCAACTCTATCCCAATGCAAATGGAAATAACAAAGTAAGCAGTTGAAACCGTAAAGAAGTGAAAGCAACCTAAGCCCCATCCAAATTCTGGTCCACCCACCGCCTGTGGTTTCTGTAACAAACAACAATGGTACAACATGATTTGCCACCTAGTACATTTCATTTACGTCATCTTGAGGGGGTGGGGGGGGGGGGGGGGCTTTTATGGTCTAAGATGTTCAGTACTCCCCCCTGACTTAAATTTTTTTTTTATCCCTGGATGGAAACCTGCAAGGTACAAAACAATTTTCTTTCTATAGAATATTCTCCTTTTTTCTAATTTCCTGTTCTATGGTCGTTTTCGGTCGTCTGCTTTCCAATCCACTCTCCCACATTTCCCCCCACCCCAGCCCAACCCTCCTCCACCATCATTTCCATCCACAGCTTCCTCTCTGCTCCTGCCTCCCTTACCCATGAATCTTTCTATTGTTACTCCTGGCTGAAGATACTCTAATAATCAGTATTTAATTTCTAAATATGGAGTGCCTTCCGAATTGGAAAGTCAATGCTTTAAACTTAAAGGCAAGGGGCCTTACAATGTTGGAAAAATAGTCACATATTATGAAAAACATTAGTTGCACAGCAGGTTTAAAACCAGAAATCGACAACTCCTGAAATCCTGAGGACAAGAATACTAATATATCTCGTAGTCTCACTATCACAGGAGCAGTACGACTCCGGCTAAACATTTTAAAAAATACTTTCCAGACTTTCAACAGCGTGCTGATGATAGTGGAAAGCTTTCAAAGCCTAGGAGGGTACGCTGTACAATATTTAACTTCACCGAAAACAAACAAAATAACAGAGTGCTCTCTCCCACAGGGCGACATTCGGACAGGCTCTCCCAGGATGACCCGTACGTGTATCCCAGGGATATAGCATTGGTCACGCGGCCAGTAGATGACCCACGGCGGGTCACAGGTCAACCAACAAAAATGAGCAACAGTACAGGTGAAGGTTTTGTTTGGCTGTGATTCGGTCTCTGTTGAAAACAACCACTTTGTGTTGTTGTACTCAATGAAAGGTACAACAAATCATGCCATCTTTTAGACCCAAAACAGATTCGCAAGAAATGGTGCTTAATAATCAAATGGAAAACAAAGTCTAACTACTAAAGCCCCCACCCTTCACCCTTTCTCCCTTCCCCCCTTTCCCCCTAGCCAAGAAATACATGTAATAACAATAATTGTGTTTGCAAGACATCTTTACCCTCAGCGACTTGAGACTAAGATTTTTTACCACCGTCTTTGGAAGCGAAAATGTTCTTTGGCATAAGGATAATCATTATCTCTAAGATCTCTAATATAAACCCACCACGCCGTGATATTGTTGAATACTATAGTGCTGTCAAAAACTTCGTGGCGCAACTACTTATCCTCAGACATCTCTTAACGGGTGAAACAATGGCACCTATATTTTGCATAGCAGTTTGTATCAATGTGTCTTAACTTAATCATATTTTCCACAACAACGGAGGCTAGATTAAAACAGGACTTTTCATCTTAGATAAATTTTTTAAAATGCTGCAAATCTCACTCGCGCGGAAATGGCAGAATTCACACAATTTCTCGCTTCTGACACACACTTTGCTTACGTATGTGGCCTGCGTCACAGTTCACCAATGACATTTTCTGTAGGTAAAATTTTATCCCACATATAATTACGATCTCCTGATAAATGACAAGTGAACTTGTGGAAGAATTTCTGTTCATACTTGATAATAATAACTAGTTTGAGCTGGTAAAAATACAATGGCACTTAGTGTTCCACCTATGAACTGTATTCTAGAAAATTCTTGCACAAATCCCACTCAGTGGTTTCTACAGATTTTAAAATGCTGACATCTTTTGAGCTCGGACAATAGCACTTTCCAAACAAGTCGGTCCTGTTTCTCCTAATTGCGACCCCAGTAGGGCAGGCTGTAGAATAGTCAGCGAAAACAAACCAAATAACTCAGTGCTCTCTCCCACAGGGCGACAACGGGACAGGCTCTCCCAGGATGACACTTACCTCATTCCATGTGATGCACCATTGGCCACGGAACCTGTAGATGACCCACGGCGGGTCACAGGTCAACTGACAGAGACGGGCAACAGTACAAGTGAGGGTTTTGTTTGGCTGTGATTTGGCCTCTTTTGAAATAACCACGTTGTGTTATTGTACTCTGTGAAAGGTACAACAAATAATGCCAAATCTTTTAGACCCAAAACAGATTCGCAAGAAATGGTGCTTAATAATCAAACGGAAAACAAAGTCTAACTACTAAAGCCGCCACCCTTCACCCTTTCTCCCTTCCTCCCTTTCCCCCTAGCCAAGAAATACATGTAATAACAATAATTGTGTTTGCAAGACAATAGCTTTACTCCCAGCTACTTGAAACTCCGATTTTTTACCACTGTCTTTTAAAGGGAAAATGTTCTTTGGCATAAGGATAATCATTATCTCTAAGATCTCTAATAGAAACCCACCACCCCGAGATATTGTTGAATACTATAATGCATTTCATAAACTTCGTGGCGCAACTACGTATCCTCAGACATCTCTTAACGGGTGAATCAATGGCACCTATACTTTGCAGAGCAGTTTGTATCAATGTGTCTTAACTTAATCATATTTTCCACTACAACTGTGGCTAGATTAAAACAGGACTTTTCATCTTAAATGAATAAAATAAAATGCTACAAATCTCCCTCGCACGGAACATGGCAGAATTCACACAAGTTCTTGCTTCTCACACACACTTTGCTTACATATGTGGCCTACGTCACAGCTCACCAATGACATTATCTGGAGGTAAAACTTTATCCCACGTATAATTACGATCTCCAGATAAATGACAAGTGAACTTGTGGAAGAATTTCTGTTCATACTTGATAATAATAACTAGTTTGAGCTGGTAAAAATACAATGGCACTTAGTGTTCCACCCATGAACTGTATTCTAGAAAATTCTTGCATAAATACTAATAAAAAATCCCACTCAGTGGTTTCTACAGATTTTAAAAGGCTTACATCTTATGAGCTCGGACAATAGCGCTTTCAAAAGCAAGTCTATTCATGTCTAACTTATTTTCTTCCAGAAACCTTTTTGCAATGCAAAATTGACAAATTAATGTCATCCTGGAAAGTTGGTGAGGTGGAAGCGGATTGTTTACGCTCTCATCTAGAGCTGGGGGACGCTGTTGTCGATTAGCCTGATCATGCCTATGATTTTGATCAAGATTTAGATCTATATTATCTTGCAACGGTAGATCTAGACATGCTTTCCGTTGGATCTGGCGAGATCGGCGTCTGACCCTATCTCGAGATGGCATTTTCTTAATCTGTCTAGATATAGATACAGATCTAGACTCAGATCTAGCCTACCTGACCCAATCTCAAGATAGCATCTTCCCTCTCTTCGCTCTGCTCTATTGTCCGGACAACACCAAATGGACAACTTTTCGACCTCATTACATCAAATATGATGCAACGCTGAATTCTAAAAGACCTAAAACATCTCGATTTTTGTGCATTTGCGAAAAAAATAAAGAGGGGCTGTCTATATAATGAATAAAAGGCTAATTAATTGTTCATTAAACTCAACACCGCATACTTTTTATAGCAGGCACGGTACTATGCTAAAACCATGAACAATACAGGGTGTCGTTGCTGGGGCTCAGCCAGAAATTTCAGAGGGGGAGGGGATACACAGTTCGGTCAAACCCAAGAGCAGGGGTCAACAGAGTGCTACATTTGAAGCGCTAATAGACATGACACTGGGCACCCCCCCCCCCCTCCGCCGCGCAGGTCCATAGGCAGAGCCCCCCCCCCACCACCACCCCTCCACTCCCTTTTGTACACTTACATATCTTATCCGTTTTGGGGGAATTGTTATAAAATAAAAGAGACGGTCTCGATCAGCTTTTTTGGAGAAATAGTTCAGTAGTTTTAAGGCAACATTTTGGGTTTGTAAGCTAAGTAATATAACCATGGTATTGTATGAAAAAGCAACAGCAAATTGAAACGCATGAGATCTAAATGACGGAAGATATGAAAGAAATTTTACTCATTGTATATCACAAAGAGTCAATCAAAATAAACCCACTGTCACCCACTAACCACTGAACTGAAAACAACTCAGTCTTGCGCTCATGCAGCCAGGTAAAAAAAAATTATTGATTAAAACAAACAAAAAAACTAACAGGGTACTTCGTCTAATGAAAAATCCCTCCGCAGACTGTAATTAAATACTAATGATGATGTTATAGAAAACACCTCTTTATATTTGTCGAATGTGCACGAAAATTGAGATTGTTTAGGTTTTTGGGAATTCAGAGCAACATGCAAAAAAAATCAGACAATTCGCCTTTTAGTTTCTGTGTAATGAGGTCTAAAAGTTGTCCATTTGGTGTTGTCTGGACTATAGTCACGTTTTGCTTTAAACTTGGCTCAGCTCTGGTCATGTTTCGGTTTATAACGAAAATAGAATTCGGAATATCCGCTGTTCCTTTTTCTCACAGCACATAAAAAAGCACTGCCGCTAGATCTATTTTTTCTCTCTATTATAAACGTTAAAACATACAAAAGGTTATAATATTTAGTATAAATACCGTTTGCTTTAGTTTATTAAATTGCATTTTTGTGTTGTTGTTTTTTTATGTACACACGCATTTTTTGTCTGTCCTGCGAACGACTTCGAGACTTTGTGAGACATTGGGCTCGCGGCTGTTCCATTTGTACCATTTCCTCCACTGTTTACGGTCGGTACGATCAAAAAACGTTTTTTAAAAATACATCAATTGTGGGACTACCAAAGTACTAAAAGGCACTGCTTGATGCTACTATGGACAACGGTTGTACTTTTTCATACTTTCTGTGTTGTATATAGTGTTACGCGCATAGAGCCTGCTGTTGAGCGGGGACATGAGCTATACAAATGCTATATATTTATTATTTTTATTATTGTAGTAACTTCTGTAGCTTTGACAGACCTCCAAAAACCTTATAGTCTTTTTATGTATTAGTAGTAGTAATAGTAGTAGTATCATTATTATTATTTCTATTACTATTATCATTGTTATTATTTTCATTACTATTATTATTATTATAGTAGTAGTAGTAGTAGTAGTAGTAGTAGTAG